TTATTTAATGCATGAATCAATTCCTATTCATTGAGGGCACATGCGTGTTGCCCACTCAGTCTTTGCAAACTCCTCTGCAAGATGTGGTACATAGTACAAACAGTAGGAACTTTCAGCTTCTTTGATATATTTTTTGAGCATGTTGATGACTCACGCTATCACTTGTGAATTAATAAGTGATCTGAGCTCTTCGGTGTAATGAATCCTATCATTTATTAAAAAAAGGGAAAACTGTTCCCATAATTAGTGTGGTGATGTTTGATAAGAAAATTCCATTTTTGAGGGACTATTATTATTAAATATTGTCAGTAAATACTGTTCATTTTTGTGCTTGGTGAAGCCCTTTCTGGTAGCTGATTTGATGAAATTTAGTGAAGAATTTGTGGTAAAAGTATTCTTTAACAAATTTTGTCCACTACATTATAATTTTTTTAAAAATGGAAATATTGAGAATATTGAAAAGGTGGGAATTTGCAGAAAAGGGTTCTGTCCAAGACATGTCTTCCTAAACCCCAGAATGTTAACATGGTATTTCTGGATGATTAAAAGGGCATGAAAAAGAATTAGTGACAGTGTAAGAAACATGGTCTTTTACTTCCCTCAATGCACATTAAAATTGTAGATTGGAAGATGGGCTCTGTATCCTTCAAAACGGCTTTGCATTTTTTGTATGTTACAAAAGTCAAATGGGAGAAGTCTCTGAATTCTTACTTTCTTTCACCAAAAATAAGGACAGTTTGTACTGCTTTCACTGTATGGAAAAAAAAGGTATAATTCAGAAGACATTAAGGCACCATTGCTTGTGTGTTTTTCTTTACTCTCCATAGCTGAATGTGGGAAAAGAAACAAAAAATCACCATGAAAAAATGTAATTTAAATTTTTTTTTTTAGTATTTAATTATGAGAGATATATTGAAATACAGCTTTAAAATCCCAATAATAATAGATATTGTTAAAATGCTGTCTGATAGTCATTGTATTGTTTGGAAAACCACGGCTGACACTTCTACTGTTTTCCAGGAGAGATGATGAATTTAACCTCATTCCTTAAGATGGATATGAACATGAAGAACTTCAAAAGAGCATAATTACATTTTAGAACTGTTGTTTTTAAACCCTTTTTAGCGCTTAATATAGACCTGTGTGTAGTCAATCTTAAATTTCAATTGAATTGAGAATTGAGGCTCAACATCAGATTTCAAGATTTAGCAAAGTGATTTGCAAGTCATTTAAAGGTTGTGACAGAAAAAGTCATATATGTTAATAGCTTTACAGATCAGCAGACCCAGCAGTTTCAGTGAGAATGTGCATGCATGTGGTGTTATCCCCATGCATGGTTGTACTACTGGATTTTTTGTACTGTATGGATATATACATAAGTATGATTACTGAGTTTATATTTCTGACATAATTGGTTGCTTGTATAAATTTCATTTATAATAAGCAGACTCTGTTTAAAATGTAGCCCTCAGAGAATTTCTGTTGTTCAGAAATTAGATTTAGATGATGTGTGGTTTTTGCACTGTGAATCCCTTGTTATCAGAATTGCGGATTGTCTTTGAAATTATATTATAAAGATCAACTCTATTGTACAGAGGAATTGCTATGCTATAGACAAAACACTGGAGGTTTTTTGTAGGATCTCAAATGAAAAAGAGGAAAAAAAAAGGATGATAGAAAGTTTATCACATTATTAGTTAAGCAGCTGATTCCAAATGACACATACTGTCAATAAAATCTTCCCTTACTGGCTTTAAAATCATCCTCAAAATATTCTGTTTGCTACAGTGGTTATCTATCATCCTAGAGTCTAGAAACACACATGAATAGCAAGTCAAATTTCTATTTTGTGGATCTATGCTGCACTGTTGAGCTCAGTGATAAATGCTTGCAGTGAGCATGAATTGGCTGAAACTTCCTACCATTTAGATTTCATGCCACGAAGTGTTATCTTAAATTTATTGCCATCTATGGGAGTGTAAATATGATATTAAAAGAGGATAGAACCTATATTTCAGCTAAGTGGACCTTTCCTTTCCATTCCTGTCACCATGCAATCTTAAATGAAAGGAAGTAAAGATAAGAACAAATTTTTAAATATGGCAAATTTGGGCATTGAATAAAGAATTAGAAAACTAGGTATTTTGTGAAGTAGCCAGAAATTAATACCCTTGGAAAAAGTGCTTATAGATACCAGTTTCTTTTATTTAGAAAGAACATGCTTGTTTTCAGTTCAGTTTTATATAATATAAGAGTTTTTCTATGTAATTTCTTGTTGGACAAAAGACAATAGTTGCTCAGGGCTTACAAACACATGCTAATTAACAAAATGTTAGAATCATAGAGTCATAGAAACAGACTTGTTTGGAAGGGCCCTAAAGTTCATCTTTACATAAAGAGCCGATCCCCTTGTGGTCAGGGACACTTTTTTTTGCTAGACCAGGTGGCTCAGAGCCAGCCTGGCCTTGAGCACTGCCAGGGGTGGGGCATTCATATCATCTCTGGGCAACCTGTGACAGTGCCTCACCACCCTCAGAGTGAAGACATTTTTCCTAGTATCTATCTATTAATATTAGGGTAAGTACGTGTTTTTCCTACCAGCAGCTCTAAGAAATAGATTTTCCAATCCTTGAACATTCAGGGTCTGAAGGGTATGTCCATAGGGCACTTCACAGGTAGGTGTAGCTCCCAATGTGTTCACGGGCTCCTGTGTCTCTCTGTCTCTGTGACAGCTGTGATGACTCAGAATATTAACCAGATCACTTTTTAATGCTACTTTAGTTAAGCAGCTGCAAAACAGATAGCTTTTCAGTTGTTTGGATTCTTTTTGTCATTCTCTTGTATCTTTCCTTATGAAATTAAAAAACTCATTATTGTGCTAAAATAGGCTATATAAAGCCAGTGCATGCAAGTTTTAAACAGTTGTTTTAGCACTGTAATTTTTAAGCAGTTAATGAAAGTCATTGTTTTAGATCTAGTCATATAAGTGTAAAATTATGAATGTCTACCCTATTAATCAAGTTGCTTTTGAATTCTAAAGAGATTCTGAGGTAGGAGTTTGCTCAGTGAGGCATAATTGTTTTTCCAGCTCAATACAGACTTGTCCCATTATTCATGTTTTCTTTTCAATAAGAACTCGCACTGTAATTCTAAGCACTTATGATAATTACAAAGGACATATTTTCTTTTTCTTTTTTGTTTTTTTTTTCCTTTCCTTTAAAATGCTTCTTTTTCCCCCTTCCATTGGCATTATAACAAAAAACAGAATATTAAAACCATTTTAAATTCTAGTTGGGACACTTGCATTTTGTCAGGCAAATTTTACCCATTCTCTTCCTTCACTGTGCTGTACAGCTGTGTGTTGTTAAACTGCTGTTGCATATGCCTCCGGTTTTGTGCATTTCAGAGCTTAAGAAATATGTCAATTGTGACTGTCCTACAAGGAATTTGCTTACTGTAAAGGTGATTTTTATAGATTAAAATTTGGCTTAGTGTATACTTATCCAGAGAAAGCCTGAGGCAATCAATGATTGAAAACATGAAGAGATTAAGAGGCCATTATATGTATATATACACAATTAGAAATGCAAGTATCATCGTGTTCTTGGAGAAATGGCTAAAATGAGACCTTCCTAGCAGTTGGCATTGTCTAATCTCTTACGTCAATACCAATTATGGCTGTGCTTATTCTGCTATGGTAATGAAAGGCTTCAGCCCTCAAACCCATCTTCTCCAGTGCTTTGCTCTTCCTCTGAGCTGGCTCCAACCTGGAGAAATGCAGCATACATGTCTAGGGGGAAGCCAACTCCAGGAGGAACTGATTTGAAATTAAGCTCCTGTTTGCTGAAACTGTGTGATGAAGCCAAAGCTGAGTTTATTTATTGCTTACAAAGACAACATATAGGTACGGTCTACGGTCAATGGCTTCCTTTGCAATTTGGCTTCTTACTTGCAGTGTGACTGTAAGGCAGATTTTTTCAAAAGTGGTCAATATTTCGATCTTTACAAATTTTCAGTATGTAACCATAATGTTTTCAAATGAGTGTCCTAAAAACTTTTTAACTCAACCCAAAGTGAATGGAGACGCATTGGGTTTAGCACAAAAGACTCGTCAGCTCATCTGGTGCCTTTTAATGCCTTCAAAATTCTCCAAGTAACTGTAACCACCACACTGCTTGGGAGGAATGTGAAAGGTAGATGGGTACGATCTGAATGCCCATCGTTGCCTTTTGAGACTACTGAAACCAGTTGGTTCCTTTGCCCTCAGATAGTTACCTCAAATATAGTGAACCTTCCCTTGGAAATACCTTTTCTCATCAGTAGAGATGTAAATATATTTTTATCTCTGTCCTTAAAAATCTCTGTCTTCTCTCTCCATGAATTGCAATGGGAATCAAAGGCTGTGTTAGTCAGGATGGATTTCTTAACCTTCCTCTCTCCTGCTCTGACAGATTTTGTACCAAGTAAAAGAGTTGATAAAAGCAGATTGGATTTCAGAAAAAAATTTCCCTTTAGGGTAGTTTGGTGTGATTAATCTGCCTTTTTATGTCTCTGCTTTTTGTTTTCTCACTTTTTGGAGAGGGTGTAAAGACCAATGCAAGTAAGAAATCCTGTTATCAGTAACTGGAGATTGAGATCCCAAAAGAGAAGCTACTGTTAAAGGTATACAGCATGCCATCTATTTTTTATTCACTGATACCACCCAGTGTTACATGCTTTTGGATTTAAGAACATTTTTATTTGTATCTGCATCCTGTTTATCACTGAAATGCTACTAGGGGAGGAGATTAGACAGAAAAGTATATTCTTGTCATACAAGTGGTTGGTAATATTTTAAAGCACTGACACATGTGGTGCTAATTGTTGCAGCCAGAATTCATACAAACACATTGAAATTTACTGATGATACAGATTCTGCACAGTGTGCAATTTTCATAAAGTGGCAAAGCATCAAGAACACACGATGAATGACTCCAGAACGTGATCAGGCCCATGATTACTCAGCAATTGTTGTCGTGGATTAGGCGGCACTTCAAAACCTTGAGATAGTTGTCAATTTTGTGGGAATCTCGACGGAGGCAGTGCAGCAGGTTGTAAAAGGCAAAGAGTCTGGAGTCTTCATCAGCAAGCTGCAGGGCTGGAAGTCCATCCCATGGAGTGTAAATCTCATTTTCGACCTCCCCAGAGTGAACCTAAATACACAAAGTGGTATTAATAGTAAGTGATAGTGAGCCTGACTGGATGTAGAAGTCAGAATTTAAAATACTGTCCTTGAAGAATGTTAGTGTATGGATTCTAATGTGCTTTTTCTTCAGGCTCACATTATTCTGTACAATGTTCTATATCTTCATTCAGATTTTTAATGAATTTGTCAGATTTTCAGTTTATTTTCCTAAAACATGTGAAAAGCATAACTGTCTCAGTAGTGTTTTAAGAGAACTAGTGTATTAACCAGTATTCAAGGAAACCTGACTTTGCAGAGAAATCAATCCTTCCTTCATGCTTGGCCTCATCAGGGACATCTCCCTTTGGCTCCCTGCACCTTCAAAACTTTGTTAAAACTTGTTCTTAGAAGTTGTTCGTGTGCAACAAACAGATTGGTCTCAGCCCTTATCAGAAAAATCTCTCAATAATACATATTCAGAAGTACTGGCTCCATTAAAAAAAAATGCTGAGTGATACAATGACTTCTAATGTTAGAAAGCTACATGTGGGAACACATGCAGTGAGTTAGTATCTGAGGTGAAGACTGGTTTATGTCTCCCTGTATGCAGGCAATCATTAATTTTCTTTTATCACATAAATCTACCTTTCATAGCAGGAAGGAAGTCTATGCCTATTCGTTCTTGTGCACCATTCTTATTTCACACAAGTCATACTTTGAAAAGACATATAAGAGAGTATCTGCGGAACTTCTATCATTCAGTTTAAGCAAAAGAAAAAAAAATAGACCCACTATGACTTAAAAATATGGTTTGACACTAATGAATGAGCCAGTCTTATCTCTTTCTGTAAATAATGTGAATGAGAAGGTGGTGACAGGGCAACTGAAGCAGCACCTGACTTCTTACTCTTATCTTGGACCCTCAGCTGTGCCCTTTTTACACATGGATGTGTGATAGAGATGTATTTGATTACACTGATAAATGTATTTGTAGCCTGGATGGTATAAAGTTTCTGAGTGAAGAGACACCTAACTGAATGAGAGACCTTGAGTGATCTAGGGGAAAGTGGTGGATACGGTGATGGTGGCACTCTTTGTGCTGTTCAGCTGCTCAGAGCAGTGAAGTCAGAACCTCCTGTCAGCATCTAACTCACTGACAGAATGATAAATCCACCGACCAACAGAGGCCCCTTTAAAAATAAACAGGCGAGAGCTGGTTTTGTTCAGGAAAGCTTTCAATCAATTAGTGGCAACAAGAGCTATTCAAGTATGGGTTTTGTGAGACAACAACCTTGTTGTCTAAACTGACAAGTATAGGGGGAGCAAAGTCAGACACAGAGTCCAGACGAATCAGTGTGGTGTGAAAAGAGAAATGAAAGATATCAAGGTTACTTTGTATGCCACATCTTTGCAATAGCCCAGACTCACAGAGCTGTTTTAAACACAGTATCTGTTTCCAAGTCCTCTGCATAATACCTATTTGTATACAGATGCATATAAATATGCTGAAACATATATATATATATATATATATATATATATATATATATGTATGTATACATATACATATACATATACATATACATATGCAATATGCATATGGAAAAAATGGGGATGTATCCTTAAACAATCAGGATTGCAAACTGAAAAGGCTCAAAGATAGAATGACCATAGTCAGTCCTGATGATTACACCTCCCCCTGAAGCATAACTCCATGGGAGTGTCATGGGTTATTCTATGACAGTCATATCACATTTTCTCTTTAGAAATTGCAAGTTAGCAGAAGAAATCTGAAAGAAGAAAGCTGAAAAGTTCTCAGAATCGACTACTTTGTCTTCCTTTTTTATTTTCACATCTACTGTTTCCTTTCATATTCCAGGCAGGGAGAGCCTACCAATGTACGTGTCTTCCTTAAAGCAACTGGCTGGAAGGGTGTTAAGGACTGACTTACCCGCCCAACTATTTTCTCCATTCCTTCTAGAAGTCGCTTGTTTTGTTCTTCAATCTCCACAGCCTTCCAGAGAATGGTTTCTGGAGCTTCTTTGATTCTTTGTACTTCAGAGGCCAGATGGATCAGGGGATCGTTCCAGGAACGCAGAACTCCCAGAATTAAATTCAGTAGGTCTTCATGCTGCACACCCATAGAAAGGGAAGGTGGTTAAAAGAAGAAAGCTAATTCTGGTAAAATTAGAAGGCATTTAGAGCAGTATCCTCAGATGCTGTGATTTAGGAACTTATTCCAGGACCTATCACTGAATGTGCCCTATAGCCCTGTCTTGGATACCTCTGTGCAATTGCATTTTCAAAGTTTATCATTGGTGTCATCATGTTCCACAATATTTGCATGAACCATTCTGTGGTGGGAAATATAATTGAATACTCTCAGCATTAAAAACTAGCAAGCATAACTATGTCTCATCTCTGTGAAAGCAAATCCAGAGCTCCTTATCTGATTTTTGATGAACGTTTTAAATTCCACTGATTATTTTTATAATTTTTTTTTTAATTTAGTATTGACTGGAAGGTGCACATTATGGTAAACCACCAAATAGCTTTTATTGCCTCTACATAACTCATCTGTCCTCCCCTTTGAACAACAGCGCTTCCAGCAGTAGCTCTCTGGTTTTAAAAATTGTCCTTTCTTGTGGGCAATAGGAATTCATCAAGCCTATGGTTCAGTTTGTGGCAGTATTAAACCTTTTCTTCTTTGCTAGATGCACAACCCAGGGCTGTGAATTCTATTGCTCCCACTAGAATTTCTAAATGACACACTGAGAAGCTGGTGATACTGTGAGATTGTGAAGATATCACCACCACCATGAAACTTGCAGAAATTTTGCTCTGGAACAGCCCTATTTTTACAGCTCTGCTTATTTTTTTCTCCAGAGAATTTTCAAATCATATCTGTAAGCATAGACTGAACGAGATCATCCTCACTAAAGTTTATAATTATTATAAATGATGTAGGTATGTAGTGTGTTTCTGTTTACACATATTTTTCAGATTTTCACATTAGAGTCTTTGTATTTGGATGATGATGGGACCACTTTAGCCTACTGGTAACAGAAAGAATGTTTTTTATTAATGCCAGTGTTTTGAGTTACTGGAAAACTATTTACCTCTATCTATATACAGCAATGTATTCTTATGTTTGTAAGTACATTAACTGTGTATAAGATGTTTTAAGATAATGTTTAAAGGTTGTGGTGTTCTCAGCACTGCACAAACACGATAACCAGCATTGCTCCATGAGGTTGAATTTTAATTGGAATTAAGATGCAGTGAATAATGTACCATACAGGAAAAGGAAGGGATGATGAAAGTCACTAGTACTTATACATGCTCTGTGGTTTGTAACTTAGCATCTGCAAATGTTAAATCAACTTTGACTTTTTGGTGCTTTCCTCTTCCTGGCTTTTTAATTGTGATTGAGTTGATCTCCCTCTCACTCTGAAAGATGCCTCACTATTCTGTAACCCTCCTTCCCTTTCTTCCCCTGCTCTGTCTTACACTGAATTACACTGGAAGTGGGACTTACATGAATCTGCTGAGCCTGCTCCTTATCTTCAGGAGTGGTTAAGGACGCAGTGTGGCAGCTGTTAACAGCTTTTGCAATGAAACCCCGGCCCTGGGCGTAGCGTTCATCCTGTAGATCAGCATGGACAGGTGTTATTAAGAGAGAAAAGTAAGAGCTTCAGCTCAAACACTGCGCTAGCTAATTGTTGTTCCATAGCTTTTATCACTGCTTTTATGCTGTAAAGGTCAAAAGTTTCTGGTGAGTCTCTAGAGTGGAACTGGCACCCAGCAAAAACAAATGTTCCACAGATGAAGAATGATGGGAAAATGGCATCTTTTAATAGAAGTGCTGGGGATCTTAGCAACACTCAGGACTATATACCAATTTGGTCACCATTGGGACTTTCACCAGACAGCAGTCATACTTGTTTATTTATTATATGTTAACAGATGTTTGTGATTAAAAAGTATTAAATTGCAATTTTATATTTTCCTGCTCTCAGGAAAAGGCTACTTACAAATTCATTGAACATTTCCGAAGAGAGATAGTGAATGTAGTGCGAAAGTTTAACTGCTCGGTCAAAAAGCTCCTCAAGGGAAAGCTGGCAATTGACAGATCCATTGGGGCAGATTGGCATAGAGGTCACTCCTTCCTTTGTCAGAAGCATGTGGGACACCAGAAGGGCTGCCAGCAACAAACCTGTTCAAGTTTAAAACACGGTGAAATGGGCACACATTGACTTGCAGGTGTATTTAGAAGCAGCTGTCAGAGCCAGATGCTGGGTGATTTGGGTTGTGCCGTCACACAGCTCAGAGTACCCTCTGTGCTGGTTGCTCCAGCAGTTCAGGACAGACACACTGTAATTCTATAATTCTTTTATCCTTTCTCCCCTTTATCATCTTGATGGTATAGCAGAGCCAGTTACAGAGTTTGAGGAGACAAGGTAACCTGTGCTGCAGTGTACAGTGTATTCTGAAGTCTCTTACTACGTGTCTGGCTTTATAACAGAGTGATAAACAGAAGAAAAAACAAATCAAACTTCTTCACAGTGCAAATATAGATACATATTTATATTTACACAGATATATAATTTTGGAAAATAGATTGGTCTTTTTTTCTTTCTTTCTTTTTTTTTTCCCTTCCCTCCTCCTCATCCCAGAGGTCCTTTTCTTCTTGCAAACATTTGGAGTTAAAATTAATTTTTGTGGGAGGGTGGTTAGGTCACTCTTAAGGCTGAGATTGTCCTGGGAGTTCCTTCAAAAGATTTCCAGCAGCTGTGCTTCTTTGCTCTTTAGAGTTTAACTCTAAATTTCCTACTTCTAAGAAATCGATGATAGTTTTTGCCTTTTCTCCTGAGCTTCTGAAACTGATATAGAGGACTTCTCATTATCTAAAGCATAAAACCTCATCTGCTTAAAGATTTTCATGTTAACTTAGCAGAGTGAAGTTTTTTATTCAGTGAAATAAAATATACAGAGAAAAGCAATGGCAGATAATTAAAATATTTGGTAAATGAACGTACTTGTTCTGAGACTTTTACTTCTGGAAATTGATGTGTTACCTATATTGGTTGACTAGACTTATTTAAAAATGCTCAATGAAAGTGTGCTTCATAAATCAGCAAAACTATCCCTAAGGATGTCACGCGATAAGTTTTTTTCTAGGTCTACATTCAAAAAAGTTTGATTTACACAATATTGAAGTAAGCCTTCCTCCTCCCCCATGAGCAAGGTACATGCTGGATACTGCATTTAGGAAAATACTCTGAGGAAAAACTGTGAAAACCTGAGACTTTTTGGCTTGGAAAGTCAATGAACATTTTGAAAACTTTAATTTCAAAATTATATCATCACCTCTAGATTTGTGGGTAATGACATCTAGCCATAGCCTTCTGAGTGGTGCAGCAAACCAGTCCAGATCCAAACTTTCATGTGCAGATGTGACACCCTTCAAGCCAATTTTTTGTTACACCACCCCATGCAAAGATACTCTTAGAAGACAAAAGGCATCAAGCTCCTTTCTTCAGGCCCTTTCTGGAAAATTATGTGGCTGGAAGACCTCAGTCTCTAGATTTGTTACATTTCAGATGCCTCCTAATTAAATCAAAATGGAAAGAAGTATAAAAATTATCAGCAGGTGAATGTCAAAATTCTTACCTTTCAGTGAAGCCCCCCTGGTGCTCATGGTCAGCATCCTGGATGGTGACTTTCTCTACCAGAAAGACACCTCGATGCTTGCTGCTGTTCTCCGCAGATACCACTTTTATATACACCATCCAGGGTCCATTTTGCATACATTCAACAGGTTGTGGAGTTTGCCTCGATAATTACAAACATCAAATTGCCTTTCTTCCACATTCATATTCAATATTTTTTGTTCTTTTTTTTTTAATTTTAGCTGTGAGGGGGAATTTCATTAATAAGTTGAGCTGTGGGATCCCAAGTACGATTGAATGAAGAGAGTGCCAATATTTTGCCCTGAATGAGGTGAAAATGCCATTGATCTTGGAAATCTCCAGTTCTGAGACAGATATTCTCAATGCTTCTAGCCTGCTGTTCCCACTCCCCATGACAGTCTTCTCACCTGTCCTTGTTGCTTCAGTCATCTAATCTTGCCTAAATTAAAATTCTGGCTATTTGTGGGAGGCAAACAGTAGTTTACAGGATCCCCATTAAGAGAAATAGCATAAATTGAACAGAAATTTGTCCAGAGTAAAGGGAACTGAGTCTCCTGTAAAGACAGGTCACTATCTGTAAGATTATAGATATGACATTCATGGTCAGCTAAAAAATATATTACACAGCACACATCTTGCTATAACTGATCCTCTATCTGAGAGATGTTTAGAAAAACAGGCAGAGTTCTTCCATTTAAAAAAGGAAAAAATTAGAACAATTGAAGAAGTAGAAGTTATATATTTACTGCTTAATCTGAAATGTCTCATGAATAATTTAGCATTGTTTAAAAAACAAACTCAATGTCTACAAAACCATGAAATTATTTTCTATACTCAAAAACCCTCTGCGTAAAAGACGGGCATTTCCACCACATGCAAAACATGTGCTGTCGTCAGCAGTGAGGTTTGTTCTCGGTTCTGATGCATCTGTGGTAAGCTGCAAACCAGCCTGAGCAGGTTGGCCCTGTTTTCCTCTTGTGTGAGGCTCATCTGCATGAATATGTTAGCAAATATATAACCTTTCATCTGTTTCTCAGGTCCATTTACCCATGGAGAAACTTTCCAAATTAGATGGTCATGATGAATAAGGTATACAGTGTTAATGAATTTTTTTGCCTTTAGACAACTTGTTCCATACCTGTGGAATGGGTATACATACAACCCAGAACCCCTCATTATTTCAGGATTCTTGAAGTGATGATGAACAAGGGAGAAGAAAGGCTAAGCATTTTGGGAAGGCATTCCTTGGGAAACAAGATACTTCAGCAACAAACCAGAACCAGTAACAGATGGTCTACCTTTGCTAAATTCTAGGATTTTTGCTAGAACAGTTTGTTCTGCTTAGAGACTGCACCTTTACTGGAAATTGAGGTTCTGCTGAGTAAATGAAGCAGTTGTTGTCTGCAGCAGAAAAAGTGGCAATTTGATGAAGGCAGTAATATTAGAATGGGGCAAACAGCAAAAACTCTAGCATGGATGGTAGAAAAAACTGCTGTCTTCTAAACTGTGGTTAATGGCTTATGAGCTTGATTTAATTCAGCTTCATTTGAAAACCTGCCCCAATAAGATTACAGGTGAGACTGAACAATCCTGGTATTTTACATTAGAAGAGTCCTGTGAATTAGATGAATGAACAGTTCTCAACCCACCTGTTGCTCTTTCATTCACTAATCTCATTTTCTTGGCATTTTCAGGGTTTGGTGGTGGGGCCAAAATGAGGCACTGAGTTAATTAATTAATACTGGAGACAAGATAAAAAAGGCAACAGGTAAACTCCCTAGTCTGTCTTTCTGGTTTTGGACAGGGAGGCTTCTCTGAGGCCTGATGGCATCAGCTGAAGTCACTATCCTCAGATGACTTAGCTTGGAGGATAACCTACCTCTTGCTGTGTAAATGTAGACAAGCACCTTAAATGTAGATCACAAGAGAGTGGTTTATTTGAAATCACTGCATGACGTTTTATTTAAAATATTCTACCACAAAATAATACTATTTCATTTTGTCTTGCACCTTTCATCCTCAAATACTCTACAAACATGAATGCATTCAAATTGTCAGCAGTCAAGAATCATAGGCAGGAGGGAAGACACTCTCTATAAAGTAGATAAGTATCAAGGTGAAGTTCTTTTATCAGGTGTGAGAACTGACATAAAGGTTAAGTTTATTTGTGTCTGCACAGGAAGTCTTGAGGGAAAAAATGAAATAAAATTCCTGATTCCCAGACCTGAACTTTTAGTGAAGAACATAATTTCTTACTAGTACCAAAGATGAAAAAAAAAAGAGGAGAGAAAGAAAAGAGAGGGAGTTACAATAACCAGAAATAAATAGATTAAAATGTTAATTTTCTTTTATAAATTAGGAATTTTGTCCTATTTAAAAGCTGAATAAAAACTTGAAAGTAGCTGAAGTAGCTGAAAATGCTTTCTTCTGCCTTTTTAAAGTAACCTGGCTTTATATGCTCCAACGACATAGAATCTGGCCTCCCATTGTCTCTGATTATACCCTGAGTCATGGAAAGGAAGTTCATTCTAGCCCCCAATAACCACCTAATTGCCTAATTTTAACAATAAGTCAAGACAGCAATGTAGCTAGCTGGACAGTTATTATTACTGAGGAAAAAGCCTCTGAAACAGCATGAGGAACTACAAAGCACAGCTTGGTTAGCAGCATGTTTCCATCTCCCTTGGTCTTCTACTTCCGCCTTAGAAATATATATATATATTTTTTTTATTTTTAATTTATTTAATTATTGTTTTAAAATTATCACATTCCTTTTATCTTCAAGGTCTTTCCTGGAAATAAGAGCACTTGTTACCACCCAGTGTAAACAATATACCAAAAGCAGGACTTACTATAGGCAGACTTTATTATATAGCTTTTAATTCCTTATTCATGCTTCATAGGCATTACATGTGATGTATCAATATTACAGATAACAACATTTGGTGCTTGTTTCTCAATAGTCTTATCTTTTCATCTCATATCAGGTTTCAAACCATGAATTAGACTGTGGCGTCTTGATTAAGAGCTATTGATCAGTACTGGAAGATCAAATATTCCAATTCCATTTTACTTTATTTAAAGTTTTTGAGATCTGCAAAGTCTTGTGCCTGATTGATGGCTAATGCAGAAGAATGAAAAATCTTTTCTAATAGAATAGCTTTTTGCAGAATACTTAAGTAGCTTAATAGAAGACTGGGAATATCACTTGATTTTGACTTTTACTTAGAAGTATCTGTCTTTATTAACAGAATATTACTTGATGCAGAAGTTTGAAATATCAAAGTTTTGTTATGTTTTTAAAAGATGATCCCCAAGTGCAGATCATGCAAAGATGAATGTTCAGAAAAATATTCGTGTATGCGATCTAAATAATTGACTCTTTGGATACTTATAAAAAAATGTTTGTGTGTTCTTGTGTTTTTGCGTTATTGTTTTATGCATGCAATGAGAAGTACAAAGAAAGTCAAGGCCCCTCTGTAATTAAATCTGGCAAAGGATGTCAAGAAGAACAAGAAGGGCTTTTTCAAACACCTGAATAACAAAGGAAAGCTGAGGATGATGTGGGCCTGTTACCAAATGGAAGGGACACCCTGGAAACAGAGGATGCAGAGAAGGCAGAACTGCTGAATGCTGCCTTTGCACTGGGAGAAGACCAGCCTGCAGGGATCTCTGACCTGGGAGACCAGGGTGGAGGGGTGCTGGAAGGAAAACTTTCCCTTGATCAGGAGGATTGGGTTGGAGAACACCCAGGCAAACTTGATATCCTCAAGTCCATGGACCCTGCTGGGATTTATCCACAAGTGCTGAGAGAGTTGATGGGTGCCATAGCAAGGCCACTCACAATCACCTTTGAAAATTGGCGGCACTCAGTAGAGATGCCTGAGGACTAAAAAACAGGAAATGTCACTCTGGTTTCCAAAAAGGGCAAGTAAGAGGACCCAGGGAACTACTAGACAGTCAGCCTCACCTCAATCCCTGGAAAGGCAATGGAGTGCCCATTCTAGGGGCCATCTTTGTCCATATGGAGGACAAGAATGTGATCAGGAGTCGTCAGTGTGGCTACACTAGAGGCAAATCATGCCTGGCCAGCCTAATTGCCTTCTATGATGAACCAACTACCTGAATAGATCAGGGCAGAGTAGTGGATATTGTGGAAAGCAGCTCTGTGGAGAAGGACCTTCGGGTCTTGTCTTTCTTTTATAGAATATTTGCTAAATTATCCTGTCAACCTTACTTAGTGGTTGGCTTTGAAAAGTTGCAAAACTGTTTTATTTGGATCAACCCCAAATGTGCTCCTCAGATCACATTAAATTTTCATAAAATCATAAAACTGTGGAATGGTTTGGAAGGGACCTTAAAGTTCATCATGTTCCAAAGCCCCTGCCATGGAGAGGGGCACCTTTCACTAGACCAGGTTGCTCAAAGCCCCATCCAAATTTGTGGAAAATATATTTGGAAGAAGAAAATAAACATCATTTTTTTTTAATGTAGAGAGTTTTAAATGAAAAAATATTTTGTCTTTTATGATTGCTCCCTTTAAGGTCCATGAAACTTATGAAGAATTTAAGAACATGATTTTCTAGGATGCTGTTAAACAAGGGCTCTTTCTTCTCCCATCTTCTTCATATAGGGAACAGGAGAATTTTAAAAGCATTCTTTCCAAATATTTGTCTCAGCAAAACTAGCAAAATGGGGATTGAGTCCTTTCTCAGTGTGCTCTCTGCAAAAATAGATAAGAACATAAGGGAAAATAATTCCATATGGAGAAAATAAAAGGTGGAAATATTTGGGAGATTTTTGGTTTACTTTTAATTCATGTACTAATGTGGCTTCATAAAATTTCAGAAGCAGACATAAAAATAAAATGGCAAAGCATGTTTTAAAAATAATTTATCAATATTGCCACTATGATGCCATACATCTAAGTACACCATGAAATATTAAGTGTGAATCCCAAGTAGAATTCCAGCTAATGATAGCAAAAACCCAGGGGAGTTTGCAAAGAATGGAGTAA